TTTTTGTTGAAAGACATGTTCATCACACTGTTGGAGTTATGGTTTGGGGTGCTATAGCTTATGGTTCCAGGTCACTTTTAATCTTCATCAGAGGTAACATGAACGCGCAGCGTTATATCCACGAAGTTCTAGAACCCCATCTTTTGCCCTATCTTGACACCCTGGCAGATCCAACTTTCCAACAAGATAACGCCCGACTACAAGTTGGAAGAGTCACAATAGACTTCTTTCAACATAATGATTTCACATTGTTATCATGGCCACCAAGATCTCCCGACTTATCCCCAATTGAGCACGTGTGGGATATGATGGGTAGGAGATTGCTCAATTTGCAACGTCCTCCTCAGACTCTAGAAGCACTTCGAGAGGAGTTGGTGGTTGCCTGGAATGAGATACCACAGGAGGACATTGGCCACCTGATCAGAAGCATGCCTAGGCGCATTGGAGAATGCGTAGCACATCAGGGTGCATCCACACATTATTAAAGGTCAAAGGGCTTTAAAGCAGTGCAATCATTTTGAAATTTTTATCATTTACTTATTATGCTTCAGTAAGTACTTATACAAAATTTTATTAAAATAAAACCATTTAAACTGGGTGTTGGGATTTATATGTCACTTAGTATATAAATAACTACGGTCGCAACACTGATCCTTGCAGTACACCAAGGAAAACTGGGTATCCAACAGGCATAAGTTTATCAATTCTTACAATAATACCTTTGTTCGATGAGTTAGATTCGATCCAGCTTAAAATAAGGCCTTTAAGACCATGTGAATGTAGTTTTTCTAGTATTATATCTTTACTCATGCTATCAAAACCTTTCGAAACATGAGACTTACAACGAAATTACCTTGCGTACTTATTCCGTTCAAAGTAATCGAGATCGTTCTCGAACAGATCGCTCACCGCAGTGTTGCCGCTGCTCATGAGAATTTGTGAGGAAGACTAATTACACTCATCCCACGTCTCCTTACCTGTACTATCCGGAAGGGCGAAAGTAACGCTATCCATCAAGCCGCCAGATGGCGGTGCCGTGCGACGCGGTCGTATTAAGTACGCGACGATAATGAACCGTTCACCTCGAGCTTAACTTTGACTTATACCGGCCGTTATTTATGTTGTTCGCGCGCCGGTCGAGCCGCAGTTTTATAATAATTAATACTTGCGCCGCCAGAGGGAGGATTTATGCCGCGACGCCGCAGACGATTAAGGAGGATCTTAGCGACAAACGGGGTACACATGTGTGCGATCGTGTTTCCGAGAAAGTTTAGCGCGGAAGGCTTGCTGTTCGGAATTAATGCGCAATGTTCGGTACCTTGTAAAGCCTAATATATCGACTGCTGAGAATAAAGTTGGACGTACACGGGAAAGTAGGTAATGCATGGCACACGACATGAGTGCTTATAGAAGACAGAGTACTCAAATGAAGCTTAACAGTTCGAAAGGGAGGAACTATAGCCCGATCGTAATCCATTTATGCTCAGACAAAACACAACATTCTCAAATCCACTTTTCTCTTTTTTGCGGATTTTGCCCATTATTTTCCTACTTTTTGTTATATACAACACAGCAAGTGGCCGCGTGGTTGTGGTTAGATGTCTCCTTGAAAATTCGAAGCCTTCTAGCCATTTTAGGTGTAGTGTAGGTTGGTTTTCGTTGTGGACTTCGTCCAGACGACAGATGACAGAAAGCAAATGACATAAGACAGAAGACAGAAGACATATGACAGAAGACAGATGGCAGATAACAGAAGACGTATGACAGATGGCAGCTGACATATGACATATGTCATGTGGCATATGATATTGACAGATGACGGATGACATATGACATATGGCTATATAGGCGCTGTAATTTACCCTCTATTGATAACTTTGAAATCTTTTACTCTCGATATCCCGATGTTATTATGCAAGCCGAGCCAAGTTTTTTATAATTATTTAAAGACGCACTGTTACAAAGCTCTGTGCGGCGGGACTTCTGGTATCGAAGCTATACTGATCCTTCCATGTTTGTTCGACGCATCAGAATCGCGAATACGTAACCAGACTCCACGGCTCGCTCGCAAATCCCCTCTTGTCGAGCGGCGGCCGCAACAGATTTTCGGCAAAGCGGGACGTACTGCAGATGATTAGAGTTGTTGGCGTTTAGCAAAAATACGACGTCTCGCTTTCAGCTTTGCGCTCCGGCAAATGAAAGCGTGCCTAATCCCGGCATCCAATTAGGCGACGTTGTCAGCCTTAGGCCATACTTTAAACCTCCTCTGTGTGCTCGGCTGTTACTGCAGCTTAATTAATTGGCATAGAATTGCGTGTTGAATTCCTGGATGAGTGAAGAAAGGGCCGGAAAAGGGCGGACGGGAATTTTTCAGCATCGTAAGTCGGTCACAGGTATGCACCGGATGGGCCAACTCGCGTTGACTGTGTTGACCTGTCTATTTCTAGTTACTAGACTGCTCCTCGTATACTTGAGTCTTACTTATAGATCGTTTCGAAGTGTTAATGCAGACAGTTCCAGTCAAATTCGCCAATGGAAGTCGATTTCTATCAAAATTTCCACAACCCGACAAATCCCAGCACTGGGTGTGAAATTTATTCACTAACGAAGATTTTGGCCGTTGAACTGCTACACTAGAGGTCGACGGAAGTTATAAAAAATTACCTTTAACGAGATGGAGAGTAGAGTACGATTTTCCTCCATAGAATTATTAGAACAAGAGAAGTATTTTACTGGAAAAATAGAATTCAATATTTGCAAGAACTGTTATAAAATTATTATTTTAAATAAGAAAACCGACCATAAAAAGAAACTGAAACAAGCCCCTTAAGCTAGAGCTACCGCTTGAAAAGATATAATTAAAATGTCAAAGAGAGATTGCTGGAAATTATTTTGAATTTTCTGAAATGATCGCCAGGCGGCGTTAATCCGGGTTCCAAAGTTCAAACGTCATCGTTTTGCAAAAACTCATAACTAACAGCCCTAAATACCTCTGGTTAGAAAGGGGATTCTATCCAGAATCATGGAAAGAAGCATTCGTGTTACCTCTAGCGAAAATAAGTAAACCAAAATCATATTCTGATTTAAGACCAGAAAAATAAATGTACGCCCAAATTTACGATTATCTCTCTAAACATGAAATTTTTTCTTCCAAACAATGCGAAAAGGATATAACACTGCAGGTGCCCTAGTGGACTTAACCGATAACATTGTTAGAGCCTGGGATCAACATGTGATCACATCAGTAGTTATTCTTGACTTCTCTAAGGCATTCGATACCATAAATCATCGTCTTCTAGTAGCCAAGTGTAAATATTTTGGTTTTTCTGATTCCGCCTCAAAAATGATTCAGATCTTCTTAGAAAATCGGTATCAAAGCGAACACATTGACATGGTGTTAAATAGAAAATGTTCATCGTTTATAATTCGTTCACTCATATTTTCACAAAATTGTAATCGTCTTCATTAAGTTCTTGTACCAGATGAATTTTATAAGGATTAAAACTATGGGCCTTTAGAATCCGTTGGATAGTACGTCGACTAACACCACACACAGTCTCCAATTTGCGGGTACTTAACGTAGGATCTACATAAACTTGTCCTAAAACCCCCACTTCTATTGCTTCGTTCCTTATGGGATTTTCTATGTTGCGTTTTTTATTGGCGACTGGCCCAGTTTCCCGACATTTAGCTACAAGTTCTAGAACATATTTTAGATGCACGTTACTTTTCTCACGTCTCTCATTAAATATTTCTGCTGTTCTATTAGCGCACTGATTATTTACGAAAAATATTTCGATAATTTCAACTCTTTCTGACGTGGAATATACCATGGTTAATATATGTAATAAAGCGTTTCAAGTTATTTTAGCAACAAAGTTTTTTCAAATCAATCGCAAACTATATACTATTACTACTCTTTAAAATAAGTACGAGATATTTCCTTATCTTTCTTCAAGAAATACCTTTTTTGCCACAAAAAAAAACGCTCCAGTAGCTATTTTCAACAACAAAATGATAAACAAACCATGGGCGTAGTGAAGAAAAGCATTTACTTATTAAGTAAATTCTGTTAGTCAAATTTCTTCTGAAAGTAGTACAAACTAATCATATGTACCTATTAAAGTCTACTTTAAGCTTTAAATCAATAACTCTTCAAAACTACTGAACTGAAGCTCATGTACTTTACATCATTATAAAGGGAATTGAAAGACCTTTAAAATAAGGTATCACTCGACCCCCCTTTCCATTTAAGATTTTAGGGTTGGTGTCACCCCCGCCCAGGGGGCTGCACGTGTTAACGTGATTTTTTGCCAAACTTGTGTCCCCCTCGAAAACAAAATCGACGGGTCTGAGCGTTTTTCCAAAAAAAACTGAGCTGCCAGTAAATGCGAATGTTTCGTTTTCACCCTGTATAATAAATTCAGAAAATTTGCTTTTATCAAATAAACAGACGCTTAATGCTTCAAAGGCACAGTCCATAGTAATAAGTTTCTGTGTTTGTGATAAGCTTTTTATGTCGAAGAATGAAGAATGAATAACTTTTCGGATGTCTAATAATTTGTTCTATGGCTTTGTATTTATTTTTAATTCATAATATATCATTTTACTGTTCTTCTGTGTATGTAATTTTTTACAGTTTTCATCCCCTATTTGATTAACCTTTAGGCCTTATCATTATTCGCATCACGACTTAAAGGGTCGCGCTTATTATAATTCACATTTTTTAAGACCACTTCATCGTCTGTTCCGTTTCCGATGCGCCACCCCGTATGTATACGAAACAGGACATAAACTGGCATAAATTAGATTTCGTTACTTTGTTGCCGCGCTCCGAAACACATTTGTCTACTCATCCTAGCGTCAAGAGACCCTCACCATCGTTATACACTCACGTTGACGAGCCATGCATGCAAGCGAACCAGAACCATCTGCCAACAGGATGATACACGCATGAGACACGCTAAAATGAAAATTAAATAATTAAGCTGTCTTCTTAGGACAGCTTCGCGCAGCTAGACGATGTAGCGGTAGCTGGGGACAGCTGCGGTACAAACAGCGTCTCATGCCACTAGCTAACGGATCTACCATTCAAGTTGGTTTAATTAATTCTCGAGTGTACTGGTGCGGAACTTTGAGGAAAGATCGGTTACTGCTTCGGTAATATACAGTACGGCATTTGGGAATAGATACGCCAAAGGGCACGATACGAATGATAAATAATAACAATAGTCTCTGGAGAACTAGGTTCGTGATCACGTGTGGTGAAACCAAAGTTCGGAGAGAGCTGGCGTCTCTCAGAACAGGGGTCTTTCAAGAGGACTCTTTAACGGGGCTCCTACAATCACGAGCACCATCTGCTGAGGTGACGGGGGGGGGGTGAAACGAGGATAGGCTGGCCTTAGACGCTCGTCGGCGCTACTTTAAAAGAGGAAAGGATGACTTCGGGTGCATACCAAGGTAAATTTTTATAATAACAGAGTCGGATTTCGATTAGCGATCTAGAATGTAAATCGTTTCTTATTTTGGTACTCAGCAAGTGGTCATTTAGTATTTTTCTCCAATTGTTACAGTTCGTCGATATTGTGTTGTTGAATTGTTGTTGGTGTGATTGTTCTTGAGTGCCATTTTTTATCAAGGCTGATAATGGTCAATAAACGGTCATATGCGACCATTTTAATTACGAATGCAGTGAGTTTAATTCATGATGAGGTCAACAATAGTGTGGAGCAGTTCAACTCTATAATCGCAAAATACATTGGAGTAAGCGAATAAATTATTGCAAGAAGAGGTCATACCATGGAAGACGTGCTGCAGCTGTAGTGAGCCACAATACCCAGCGGCCTGCATATGAGGTCTAAATACATTTGCGTTCTAAGCTTAGTCCTACCTCGCTTATCGCTAAGATGGAACAAAGACTCAAACGCAAGAATCTTGAAAAGAAACTCATACCAAAAAAAATAACAAACAATTCGGATAGCAATTCCAAAGAAAATGAATAGTTTTATGGCGAATTGAATCAAAAACCTGACATTAACTACATTGATTTGGAGGCAGCACGAAACAGTAGACAAAATTCGTCCAAAATACGATTTGTAGAGGTTTGCGCGCTTCGAAATTGACGCTTTATTTTTAATATTTTTGGATGAAATTTTCAGAGAGTGCTGAAAACAAAACCCCACAGGGTACTATAGAGCCACTTTATCATTTTTTTCACTAGGTTCTTTTTAAAAAAATTGCGAAGTTGAACAGAAAATGTACGCACTTCAACCCATCATAAAACTTGTGCAAAAACAAAATTTCAAAAAGTGCTCCTATAGCACCCTGGGCAATTATCTTCTCAACATACTGTATGAATTTTATTCAAAAATATTGAAAAATGGAGTGTCAGTTTTGAAGCAGCTGAACCCTTGTAAATGATTTGAAACTCACTGCGTCGGAGCCGCCTTAAGTCCGCTGCTCTTCTGCATCACACTGCTCCCGTTTTCAGTTGCCCAGTAACCGGATTCACAAGGTCACCCAACTCTTTTGTACGGATGACCTAGAACTTTACGCTTCTGGACAAGGCAATTTATTTATTTATTAACTAGTATATATACTATCCGAACGGTTTATTACACCATTCAACGGACAAGGACACAGGAATCAATTTTAAGACAAAATTGTTCTAAAATAACTTAAAATTGCGAAATGACTTAACCTACTGTTATGTAAAGTCTTCTTAAGGTACGCAAATTACAGAAGAACAAATCTACAGCGTTTCTTGCACGTTCATAGTTATTACATACTACATTATATCGGAGAGGAAAGCAATGCATTGATTCTAGCTAGTTAAGTAAAAGTATTTGGAATTGGATCGCGTCTTAGTATTAGGTACATAAATAAGAATCTCACCGAGTAAATGTTCACAATCAATGGCATTATTAAGCATTTTATATAAAAATACACAAGCAGCATAGTTTCTGCGCTTCTCCAAGTTACATAGGTTATATCTGCTAAGTAATTCATCATGCCTGAAACCAACTTCTGGATACGTACCATCCTCTTTGTGCCACAAATATTTCACAAACCGCCTCTGAATTCGTTCAATTTTATTCGAGTGATCTTTATGAACAGGATACCATATTATAGCGCGGTATTCAATTTTGGATCGAACAAACGAATTATATAACGAGATCATGGTATTATTAAAATCCCCTACAATTCCTGATAATGAAGCCCAAAATATTTTAGGTCTTGATTAATGTCAGTTCGATCCTGCGCTCCTTGGCAGCAAATTTGTCGATCAGCTTCCCGTTAAAATTTTCCATGATCGAAATAAATTCATTTTCAATGGACAGCATCGACAACACTGTAAGGCGATCCTGTGTGATAGTATTATGAAGAAAAGTCTTGATTCTTTTCAATGTTGAGAAATTTTGCTTAGCCTCTGATGTTGACATAGGAGTTGTAACAATAATTTCTAATAGCTTTTTGTTTCTTTCAGTGTTTTCTATTTTGTATCAAAAATTTCAAAACAGACAGAGTTCCATGTAAATCTCGGCAATCATTCCGTGCATAAATAACAGACAACTCTGTCTTTGAACGACATTTTTCTAATTCGGGATAAGCCAAGCAGGTAGTTTCCAACTTGTCATCAGGAAACTTACCACAGTACTCTCCAAAGTGTTCGGGGAAAAAGGGATGCGGCTACCAAATGATGTTTGAATTGAAATCTGTCATTTGCAGAATTCACTATATTGTCGCATACTTCTAATGCGACAACTCGGTGATCGTGACTGCTATTATTACGTCGTCTCCTTTTGTTGCCTTTGGGTTCAGTTCAGTTCAATTTTACAAAAAATCTTCAAGTCATCTGCATATAGAAGACAGCTGCTGTGTAGCTGCCCAACGACGTCATCAATGAAAATTTGGAAAAGCAAAGGGTCAAGAGCAGACCCCTGAGGTACGCCGGAAGAAGGTATAATCTGAGTGGAGGTGAAGCCCCTGTATTCGACTTTCAAGCATCTGTATGTAAGATAAGATTTGAAAAAATTCAAGAATTGATGGGTCAACCCTCGCGTAGCTAATTTCTTCAACAAAATACCGTAATCCAGCTTATCAAAAGCCTTTGAAAGGTCAACGTAAGCAACATCTACATGCCCCTCTTCATCAACAACTTCAGAGCAAACTGTTTAAAACACGCTAGATTAGTGTGGAAGTGTTTAATTATTCAAACAGCTATGTATTATGTGTTCATTCAGATCACTAATGTTTTTCTATTTTCTTTTTTTTTATTATTATTTTCTGATTCATTGTCTATATATATACTAAGTGACATATAAATCCGAACACCCAGTTTAAATAGTTTTATTTTAATAAAAGTTGGTGAATGTATTTATCTTACTGTAAATAACAAGTGAAAAAATTTTCAGCCTTATCAGTTGGCATTCCGGTTTTTATACTGCTTTTTTTTCAATTCACTAACGCTCTAAAACTGAATATTTCAGCCGCAATAAAGAATCAACGTTGGCGGATTTTGGTTCTTGACATCCTTTACGATCGGTTACGATGCCTAGAGTACGGAGACCTGTACGATTTCGTCAACTTAGTGAGTTTGATAGGGGCCGTATAGTGGGACTTCGGGAAGCTGGACTTTCTTTGCGGGCAATTGCAGTTAGAGTGCAAAGAAGTGTAGACACTGTGGTTAGGTGTTGTCAGGCATGGCTTCGAGCAGGCCGTACGCAAAGAGCAAGGGGCACTGGACGCCGCCGTAGGACAACAGACCGTGAAGATCGCCGCCTAAGATTATTGACCTTAAGGGACTGTTTCTCCACTACCAGGTCCATTGCAAATGAATGGTTTGCAGAACACGGAAGACCTATTGGCATACGAACTGTTTACTGACGAATGAGAAGTTTTGGCTTGTTTCCATACCGGCCACACTGGGTCCTCCCTTTAACTTGAGAACACCGACGTAATCGCCTTGAGTGGTGCAGACAACGGTCACTCTGCGATCAGGAATGGAACAGTATTGTCTTAAGTGACGAGTCTCGATTTTGTTTAGGCATGCACGATGGTCGTGCCAGGGTTAGAAGGCGACGTGGTGAAAGGAGGAATCCACAGTTTTTTGGCCACCAAGATCTCCCGACTTATCCCCAATTGAGCACGTGTGGGATATGATGGGTAGGAGATTGCTCAATTTGCAACGTCCTCCTCAGACTCTAGAAGCACTTCGAGAGGAGTTGGTGGTTGCCTGGAATGAGATACCACAGGAGGACATCGACCACCTGATCAGAAGCATGCCTAGGTGCGTTGGAGAATGCGTAGCACATCAGGGTGCATCCAGACATTATTAAAGGTCAAAGGGCTTTAAAGCAGTGCAATCATTTTGAAATTTTTATCATTTACTTAATATGCTTCAATAAGTACTTATACAAAATTTTATTAAAATAAAACCATTTAAACTGGGTGTTCGGATTTATATGTCACTTAGTATATATATATGTGTATACAGGGTTATCCAAATTAAGTGTCCACCATTAGTAACTTTGTTATTAGTGAAAATACAAAGTTGTTTGAATTAGCAAACTAGTAGCATTTTTAACGCTGGTAAAAATGAGAAATAAAAAAAAACAATTGAGAGTCGTTATTTTGATTTTTTTTCAGTAAAATAACATTTTTTTAAATGGAAACCCCTGTATATTATATTTTTTTCTGTTAAAGCATCAAATTTTAAACAAAAAAGCTTACAATAACTTTTCTCCTAGGTTACAAATTGTTGAAGTTATGGCCTCCAATCTGAAACAATTAAATTGTATCGACAAACTTTATTTTCAACATCAACTTATAATCTTACAAAATACAATAACAATTTTTTTTAAAGAAGATGCTCGAAAACACCACCTTGTTCTTCAATACATTTTTGGGCACGTTTTTCAACTGCTCGAACTGTCTTAAGTATGGTCCTACCATCTATCTGGGTTATCTTTTCCCTAACTGCAGTCTTTAACGCGTCAAGGTTATCGTACCCTCGCTTGTAAATTTGGTTCTTTAAGTAACCCCACAAGAAGTAATCAAGTGGGTTTAGATCTGGTGATCTGGGAGGCCACTGTATTGGGCCATTTGTTCCTATCCACTGATCATTAAAAGTAGTACTTAGAAAATGATAAGTACCTCTG